AAAAGATTATCAGTTTGCTTCAGCAAAACGTTGCTTTTGCTTATGTAGATTTAAAATATCTTTGCTGTTACACTGGAGTTTCAGCAGAGAAATGAGCTGAGCTGTCACCTGGGAGCGGCTTTGACCATGGGAATGCACGTCTGGGCCAGTCACAAGGAGAGTGGATCTATTGTAGAGGGAAACATTACATTGTGGTGTGACAGACAAACAATTCCACGTGCAGAAGAGTTTGGCTTTGTAGAATGTTCCAAAAAAGTAAAGTCCTGCTGTGTGAAAAGGTTGGTGATAGGGGTGGTGTGGGGTTAGATTTTTTGGTGACTGTTATGGAATGAAGAATTCCACTGATGCAGAATCTGTCTCTAATGTAGGAATCTGCTTGTTCCACTTGTTCAAGTAAATGCTTGTTAGCATTTACTAAACTAAATACTGACTTTCTTTACAGATAGGCTTTTAAGACAAACTGCCTGAACAAATGTTCACACTGAACGTTGCTGAACTGGATAGAGACATTTCACTGTTGCTGTATTTAGGAAAAGCTAAAAAGCTTTAAAGAGACATTTTGGCACATGCTCAAGGAGGAAAACAAAGTTAGGCAATAGAATTCCTTAAATACATTCTTGAAAAAAGTGTGGAGATGGTTTCAGGGTTAGGACTGCAATGTCTGTACACTTCTATAGCAGTATTATTACAGCACTATTGACACAGTTTCTTTATTTAACAATATCAGTTTTAAAATGTAGGGTTAATAATCACACTCAGCCTGTTGAAAACAGGTGAAAACCAGAGATTAAGTTTCACAGAAGCTTTCTGCTAAAAATGTTTCCTTAACTCTGCAGTCATAAAATCAGCAAGTGAATTTTTATTCCATGGGATTTACCCCGAAGAACAATCAGTACACGTTTCTGAATTACAGAGGTTGGGACTCAGACGAGAAACCTGATTTCCCATTTGGAAGAAGGAATGGATTGGTTTCCTAAATATGTTGCTGAGCATTCAAAAAATGACACTAAGTGGTCAGTGTGACAATAAGTGAGGAAAGAGAAAAATTAAGCTCTTTATGAAAACAGTAGTATCAGTCTAGTCTAGAAGGTAATAGGAAAGGAAATCTTTTACTTACATCTGCCAATGTTCTCTCTACCATAATACGCTTTTATCTTTATGTGAAAAATATTATGGGATGCCATTATCCTCTGCTCACAGAGGTTATCTTCCTCCCAGGTACTGCACAATCCAAGCCAGGTGTAAGCTATGAAGCAATTTATGTTTTCATTGGAGTGCTTAAAGCTGCTTGTTTGGGGATTATTTGGTCAAATAGTTGTAAGATATTCTTAGCATCCTGTCCTTTATCCAGCTGAGCAGTCCCCGTTCACCTGTTTGGTCTGGGAAGTTCACTGTAGATATGTCAAGGAAGAAATATTCTATCTGTTCATAAACACACACTTGGGCAGGTAGCTTCTTTTTAGTCTTGTCAATTAAAATTGCTGTTGCAACAGCAGCTGGAGGAATGTTGAGGAAAATGCATTAATTTGACTTGGTTTTTTTTACTTATTTGCTGTTGTGGGGTAGATTTTCTTGCAAATAAAAAAAAACTATCTTAAGGAGTTTTTAATAAGGCTTTTTCTCGTATATATCTTTTTGTATTTGAAAGCACTGCTCACCCTTTTATATTGAGTTCTGAAGGATACTTGTTTTATTTTGTAGTAAAGGTTGAATCTCAGGCCGTGTTCTGATTGTAGCAACTGATTGTCCAGGTTATCTTTGGTATCACCTGTGTGCTTGTCATCCACTGAAATTAATTTGCTTTTGTGGGCTTTGGACTGTGCTACAGCTTTGAATTTACTTTTTTATTATGACAAGTGTATGTTTGAGTACTCATGGTAATAGTGGGGGAAAGTGAGCTTATTAAAAAGAAAGACCATGTGACCCATTTGAAAGTGTCATAACTCATATAAATTATTGACTAGAACAATTGTCTACTTCAGACTCATTTTTTTGAATCCAGAGGCCAACTGGAGTGTCAACCATCCTTATATAAAAAGGAAACGGGTTCTGAGAGATGAATAAATATTGTCTGCTGCAAAAAAGGGCTTGGCTCCCACATCAGCCGTGTTTAGAGCAACCAGAAACTGTCTGGCAGTTTTCTTTAGTCACATCTGGGTGACTGACATGAAACCCAAGGATTTTTTTGCAGAAGGGTGGAAACTGAATAATAATGACTGTAGCACACACACTGGATATTATCAGATATTTCTGTCACCGAGTGTTTGCAAATAAGAAGACCCGGAGGGTGGGGTTTATATGTGATTTATAAATACATTGATTAAGGAGTTCTGATCTGCCTCTCTTTGAGCAAATATTTTGACACAGAATCTTTTGCAGTCTATGAATGGATTTTGCAGAGACTTTAATTTCGATTGATAGTAATCAGTCAAGACATTCTCCTGAATAAAGCAGCAGAATCTATTTTGTAGGTGCTAGATAGTGTTGCTGAGTCCTGAGAATGCACCTTATTGAATAGAGCTTTATGAAGTGGATTGTGATTCAAGGAGCAATAGCTGAATATCTTTTGATTGTGTTCACTTAATTGCGGTGGTGGAGTATTTATTTTTTTATTTTTACGTTTTACTACCTAAATTACCTTGTTGGTTAAACATAGTTTTCTGGAGAAAACAATTTAAAACTTTTGGAATGTTGTGTTCTGAGGGCTTGACTTGAATCTCACCTAAGCAATGTCCAATGTGATACTATTGGGTTATCTTTCCCTGTTGGAGTTCTCATTGGCCTTTTTGTTTTTTTGGTTTTTTTTAATTTTCATTTTAAAACAGAGGTAAATATTTAAACCAGAGTTACTTAAAATGAACATTTTTTCATCAAACTTTTCTGTCTTCTTGTTTTTTATTGACAAGTTAGTTTACATGTGGCTTTGCCTGTCACCAAATACCTCTACAAAATCACTTTCCAGCTCAATGAGGTGCATTTGTTGTCTCTTACAACCTGACAGCTGGGCTTCTCTGTACCTGGAATTTCAAAAATGAAGTCAACTGTCTAGAAAATTGCATAAAAACCTGAAATGGCAAAAAAAAAAAATAAATAAATCTGACAGCAACTTGCTGTTGCCTTCATTTTAGGCCTTGTTTAAGCTTTTAAGTCTCAGGTGGTCTGGAGAATCCTTTTCGGTTTTAAATGAGTTCTGCTCTTTTTGATGCAGCGTTAAGAAACGCTGAAAAACGTGGGGAAGTTCTGTTCAAAACCATGAACAGAGCTGTTGAATTTATTTTATTCGACATGTGGGTAGGCTGACCTTGTCTGGCAGCCAAGTGCCCACCAAGCTGCTCCTCCCTCCCCATCCTTGACAGGGGACAGGGGGAGGAAATAGGGTGGAAACCTCATAGGTTTGGAAACCTCAAAGTCAGGGCAATCATTTGCCAATCACTGTCACAGGCAAAACAGACTTGGGGAAAATGATTTTAAAATTTGTTGCTAATTAAAATAGGGTGGGACTGCAAGGGAAGAAAAGGGCAAAATCTAAACCACCTTCCTCCGCCCTGAGTTTTTACCCAGTCTCCACTTCTGTCTCTTCTGCTTCCTTCTCCCACTCTGAGCAGCACAGGGGGATTTGGGGGTTGCAGTAGGTTCATGACACTCTGTTAGACACCAGGTCAGTGGTTATTGGGTCAGAACCACCTTGTGGGGAGTGTGTGTGTGGAGGAGGAAGGGATGGGTGCAACTTCACGGAGGTGGGGTGGCATCCTGTCCCTTATGGCAGCCCCTGGAGCCCACATAGGGAAGCTCTGGAGCAGCTGCCAGTCAAGGGGAGCCCAGGAAAACTATAACACCCCACAGCTCCTGGAGCCCCTAAGCCAGGCTCAGATTGGCAGGGACAGTGAGGACACTGCCCTATAACACCCCACAGCTCCTGGGGGCCCTCACCCAGCTCAGATTGGCAGGGAGAGTGAGGACACTGCCATATAACACCCCACAGCTCCTGGGGGCCCTCACCCAGCTCAGATTTAGGGCAGTGAGGACGGTGCCCTCACACCAACCTGGAAGCCCAGAGTGGTTGGTGGGTCAGAGGCCCCGACTGGAGGGGTTGTCCACAGGGCAGATAAAACCTCAGGCACGTGTTTGCCTCGTGTCATGGCCCTGCCACTTGGACATGTGAGAGCTGGTCTTCTGCAAAGTGTCAGTGGTAGCTCTATGATCTGTCTCTCCCTCTCTCTCCTTCTCTCTTCTTGCCCCCTCTGCTTCTCTTTCTTTGCTCCTTTCTTGGTGCTCAGGGTGGCTTGGAGCTGGAGGGATTGGATCTTGACTTAAGCATTGTGGATTTGTTGGATCTTGACTTAAGAGTAATGGATTGGTTAGATTTTGACTTTAGGGTTGTGGATTATTAGTGTAGGTTGAGCCAGTATTGTGATGGAACATTTTTGTGTCCCTTTGAACTTTGGCCAAGTTCCCTTATTTACTCCCCTAAATTAATAAAGAAATCCCTCGGGAACAAGTCTGTGGCTTATTCTCTTGACTCTATCTCGAGGTATTAAAAAACCCTATATCTCTATTAAAGTAAAACTCCTTGTCAAGCCCATGAGCCAGCAACTCCAGGGGCTGGAGTCCTACATGCTCCCCATCCTTCCTCACACCTTTCCCGTGCACCAGTTTGAATTCTGTCTCTTTGGCTGCACTCCTTCAGGATAAATCTGCTCCCTGCATGCACCCTCCATGGGGTGCAGTTCCTTCAGGACATATCCATCTGCTGTGGTGTTGGAGTACCTGTTCTTAAGGGCTACAGGAGGAAAAAGAATCCTGGATATAAATGTTTAGGCCCTCAGAGGATATGGCAACAGTGCACCTGGGAGTTCTTGGGAGTAGAGGAACACTAGCAAGATTATGGAGGGGTTTTTTATATGTGAATGTATATATTTATTCTCTAAGTAAATGATATGCAGTATTTGGATATTACACTAATAATTTTCATGGATGTTGTGTAACTTTGTCTGTTCCAGGGAGTATGACTTCTGCAACATCACCTATCATTTTGAAATGGGACCCCAAAAGTTTGGAAATCAGGACTCTCACAGTGGAGAGGCTGCTGGAGCCACTCGTTACCCAGGCAAGTATCTTTGACTTGTTTTGCTTCTTCCCTTATCCTGATGCTGTATTTACTCATTTCACGTAATTATCTTAATAATATTTGATGATAAAAACGTGAGCAGTTTTTGTTCGTGTTCTCTGGTGGCAAGCTCTGTTCAAACATGTTTGGGAGCTCTTGTTCTAAATAATTTATGGTCTCAAAGCTTGAGCAGGAATACAGTAGCAACAACTATTTACTTAAGTCTACCTTAAAGCAATTTAGAAATTCATGAAACAGTCAGTCTAAGACTGAGCACACGCTCCTGGTTTGTTATTGCACCACAGAAGACAGATTCAAAAAAACCCAAACAAAACCAACCAACCAAATTGCAGAAACCCTTAAAACCTGTTTCATTTTATGCTGCCATCACTGGGAGGATGTAGAGGCCTGGTGCCTTTCTGTTCCTGAGCTGATGTTAATAATGGGAAACTGGTTACATAATTTAGTAACCTTCGAGATGGGAAGCTCCATTATTTAAAATACATACAGAAGTCATTTTTCTTCTAGGAATGCTCATATTAAAAATGAATGTCAGCTATCCCCATCTGTCCATCCACCTGGTACTAACAGTTTTCTTGTAGAGATTGTGGATCTTGACACTGTGGATCTTGACATTGGTCTGCAGGACAGAAATGCAGGCCTTCATTTGAGTGTGAGAACAGACTTGATGTCTCTGTTTTAAGAATAAATCTTCTTTAATTCCCCCCCAGAATGATGTATCTGCATGGTTCCTATGCTCCTACAGTGAGTCACTGTGTAAAGAAATGACACTTAGTCTTTTTTCTTTGTTTCTGAAAAGAAAAAAAAAGTTATTTTTCCACAAATTATTCTGAACATGAAAGTCTCTAACCATGTGCACATATTACAGACTCAAAAGCAGAGAGATGTTTCATTTCATGTAGTTGCTGATAACATGGTAATTAACTTTCATTGCAAACCTTCATAACTTTGCTGTTGATGTGAAAGACAGACTAAAATCCTGAATTCGTTGTAAAACTAACTAAAAATGAGGTTACAAGCCCTCAGTTATTCTGATACCAGCATTGGTACAGCATTTGAAGCTGCTGTGCACCACAACCTATTGGAGGATGAGCAAGTTACTGGGTGTTCTGTGAGGGAATTTCGTGTTTTCTTTTCACTTTGTTTTCCCGCAACTTGCCCAGAGAAGAATCCAGCAGCCAACAAGTTAAAATGCCATTGTAAGTTCTTGGTTTCACAACCTGCTTGGATTAACTGGGCTTAGCTAGGTTTGTGTTTGATGGAGTGCCTCAGCAAGTTTAAATCAGGGAATTACAAGCTGAACTACAAGACATGGTTTTCTCCAATGATGACAACTTCGGTTCTCAAGATTGTGTTTTGATGAGGAACAATGTATTTCTATTTCAGCAGTTTGTCAAGAAGACTAGAGAAGATAAAATGCTGTCAAGAGAACTATTGGGTTATTGCTTTATTCAGTGTTTATGAATATCTTCATTCTGATTTCTTCTTTTCATGGGTTTCTAGATAATATGAACATATAAACCCCCCTTTTTGAACATGTAGTTTAATTTCCTGTATTAGAGAAATAAGTAGTTTTACTTATTTCCCTGTACTTTAATCCAGTAAATGTTTGACTAAAGCATGTTTTGTGTGAGCCACACAAACATAACCATGGAAGCTTCAAGTGATGAGAAATGTGTTACCTTCAGATTGTGTTTATCCGTTGCATTTTCAGCCGAAGTTGTTCAGCTGCTCTTTCTGTTTTTCTCAGATAAGTTAACGATGATCCCAGTTTAAAGGCTTTTTATTTTTTGCAATGCCTAAAATTGCCTTTGCAGTCTGGTCAAGTCAAGAATAGTATCTCGTTTAGCCCTGTTTGGGCTTCGATGGCAATCTGCCTGTGCAGTGACAGCCTCCACAAGACACCATGTGCACGTTCCACGTGCAGAGATTTGGATCTCCTCAGGAAGTTTCAAAGCAATTTCCTTCCTAAAGAGAACATCTAATTTGAAACTTCATCGTGGCAAGTAAATAAATTAATCCCGTTCATTCTGAAGTCTGAAGTCTGCTTGTAGGTTCATGTGTGAGCTGCTTAGCAAAGAAACCATAGGGATGGGAAGTTCTTCCGTGAGTCATTAAATATGGGTCACTGGATAGAAGAGAGAGGTTTAATGGCCCAAAATGCAACAGAACTTTGCTGCAAAAGTTCCTGAGCAACCAGATCTGCCTTTGAAGGCAGCCCTCCTTTCACAGAATCACAGAATCATTTAGGTTGGAAAAGGCCTCCAAGATCATTGAGTCCAATTCCGACCAATCCCCGTCTTGTCAACTGAACCACAGCTCTGAGTGCCACGTCTGGTTGTTTTTTGAACAATTCCGGGAATGGGGATTCCACCACCTCCCTGGCCAACCCCTCTCAGTGCTTGACAACCCTTTCACTGGAGAAATTCTTCCTGATGTCCAGCCTGAACCTCCCCTGGCACAGCTTGAGGATGTTTCCTCTTGTCCGGCCTCTTGTTCCCTGGGAGAAGAGGCCAATCCCCACCTGGCTACAGCCTCGTGTCAGGGAGTTGGAGAGGATTTTTGACCAGGAGTTTGGAGTTGATGACATCCCGAGTCCTGTACAGCCAAAATTTGCCCAATGCTGTGATTTTTAGCACCACCAAGAGAAATTCATACTTTATTTGGCATTCACACTTGAATATTCAGAGCACCCCTCTTGTTCTCCAAGCTGTGTATGATTTTGGGGAATGCTTGGAAAGCTGGAAATGCTTGTACACAAGTCTTGGAACTCCAAAAGTGATAATTTAGTCTTTGTTATCTGGGGGAGTGTATTTGGGAACTGACTCTGAACTCGGTGTATATATAGGCACAAGACTGACAGATTTTCGAATGGTGTCAAATCAACAGGCTTCTACTGAAATTTTGGAGAGTAATACAGAAATGTGATGTGAGTTTGAAAAAGAACACCTCAGTGAGTCAGGAGAAGAGAAAGGTGCATTAAAACTGAATTTTAGACAGACTCATTAGTGTTCCAGATGAGAAAATATGGATAACCTAAGAATTGATTTAGAAGAAATTCTAACACAAGAAGGTTGTCTGAACTGGAGGCAAAAAAAAAATAATAAAAAATCCTAAAATCCATTAACTGATCGTGAGAACACATTAGAAATGACAGAATTGCATTTATTCTAGGAAGCCCTGAACTAGGAAACTAATTAAAACTTTTGTCTGGCTGTCAGAGGTGTAAGAAGATTGGAGCTTGCTGGGGTACTCGTGTTCCCAGTGCTTGTTGTCATGGTTAAAGAGTAAAAGACATGCCCTCCACATGTCTTTCATCAACTTACCCTTACTGAGATTTTTCTAAGAAATACGTGATTGAAAAAAATATTAGAATTTCTGTTCTCAGCAGTATTGAAATTGATAATTGAAATGTGTTTCTTTTCTCTGGCTTCAGTGTCACAATTAGCTGAAAGGATAAGGTTATTGTATTCATTGCTAATTTTTTTTTTCTGAGAGTTTATAGTAGCCAACCTTTGTTTACTGTAAATCTTAAAATTTTTAATTCTATGAAATTTTTATAAGGAAGTATATAACTAAAACATATTCTTGAGGGTTACAAGAGTGAGGGTTACTGCCTCTTACTCTGACCTTCATGCACAGTAACTCAAGTGAATTGTAACTTTATTTTTTTTTATTTGCAAATTTATTTGTTTTATTTGTGGATGGATTTTATAAGAAGAAAGAATCACATTTTTAGGAATGGTTTAACTGCAATTTCATGATATTTTAGGTATGGCTGGAAAATAAAACTTTTGGAGCCCATAAGGAGGTGGGATATATTTTGTTTTTGTTTCTGCTGGTTTTGAGTGCTAATTAAATACAGATATGAATGCAAGTTATGTAAGTTAAGGAGAGAAAAGAAAAAAAAAACAATACACAAATAAATCCCAACTATAAACCAGCAACATCCATGCAATTATTTTTTTGGAAAAACATTAAAAATATTGATATGTGAACACAGGGATGAAAAAAATGAAGGACTTGTGTCTAGTTTTTGATGATGACATTTGCTCTTTCGCTAAGATTTAAATCTTCGAATGCCAATCTGTGGTTCTTTTCATTAGTTTTGCCCAGGAATTTTAAATAGCAGGGTGGCTGGTTTACAGCTGTGCCTTTATTACCAGAACTGTGCAGTGGTTGTACCTTTTAGAATCTTTGTATTTTTGGACTGTTATTTATTATTGCAGAGGTTTAACAATAACACAGATAATGGTGAGTGTTGCTGTTGCAGATTGTTGGTGACTGATTATGTTTTCCCTCAGTATGACACATTTTTGTCCTTCTAGATTTGCTGTGAAAAGACAGTTTGGAATTGCAGTGCATGTTTTGTGTTTTTTTTTTTTTTCCAATAAATTTAAGATGCTGTTAGAGTGACTTAAAGGCAGGAACAATATGTTGTAAGGCAGACAAAAAAAATTGATTAAAGATTTTGCGTATTTTTTTATATAGCATCACTCAGTAAAATTAAGTGCCTGTATCTATAAAATAAACAAGTCATTAGATAAAATTCCAAGGAGTTTTAATTAGTGCAGTTTATGTAGAAAATAATAATAATCATGTCTGTGTTATTCTTCTTGAACTTCTGATTAATCCAATCCCTTGTGCAGTGTATTTGGAAAATGGGCTGATTTCTGTATTGCCATAAGAAAGATAAATATATTCCCAACCATTCCAGTTAATTGGATGTTATTCATATTCAGTGAACCTTGTTTTCGTTGCGTTTGAGCCCTAAATCTGGTGTGCTATTTTTCATGAGAATTATGTTATGGATTAATGTTGTCAGAGAGCTGCACCTGAACCACAGCTGTGCACGGACACAGCTCCCTTTTGGGGGGTTGGTGAATGTCTGGGACTGTTCCAAACAAGTTTGGGAAAAGTTGGGTAGTGGAGCACTTTACACCTGATATTTGTTGCCCTTGTTTTAGTAATTGTGCAAA